GGATTCTGCAGGGCCGCAATGCCAGCATGTTGGGGCATACATCGGGCAAAAGCCAAACATGCTTCTCAAAGGACACTTCACGGGGCAAATTGCTGGATACCTGGTGCCGTGGAGCTGGGTGGAGACGAGTGTGTTCAAGCTACAGCAGCAGGCCCACGAGTTCCAGGTGTTCGGGTTAGAGGCGGCCCTCCAGGCCGCGGTGTCAGCCTCCGATGTTCAAGGAGTTGCAGGAGTGAACCTGGCCGGCAGTGGTACTGTTCACGTGCACGGCCGTGAAGTTACAAGAGGCGAATGGGCAGCTGACTCACAGCCTACTAAGGAATTTAGGAGGAGGTTGACAGCAAGCGCAGGATGAGTGTGGGCAACAGAGCAGCATGGGAAGGGTGGCAATCGGGGGTTCCCGGCTTCCATGACCAGAGGAGTGCAAGTCGGAGCCCAGTGGGTGCAGGCTCCCAGATCCTAGTAAACCCGGGACTGGGAACGCCTCACGGTGGGGGGGCCGCGATGGACCACGGCTGAGCCCGCCTGCCAGTGTAGTGGTGGCTGTAAACCAGGAGCTGGGTCGGCGGGGATACCAGGAAGTGGGTGAAGAGCAGATTACGGAGAGTGTGTACAGGGAGAATGGCACTGACTTGTACTAGTTACGCAGGGAGGGGGCCCTGTGTTAAGGTGCAGGTTGGGCAGTGCTGCTGGTATAAACACCCAGCAACAGAGGCAGAATGGGTGGCCCAACGGGCGGACGCCCTGGTTAGCTGCAATGAGGCGCCACACAAGGAGACCCAAGCCCAGAGGCCCAGGCTTACTGTGTTGACTGTGATCAAGCAAGGGATAGAAGGGGAAGGAGCCGGAGGATCTAGCACTGGCTACCACACGGACACCCGGGAGGAGGAGGGAGCTGATCTGGACAAACTGCTGTCGTGAAATGATGACCCTTGTGAAGGCAGCAAGTGGGTGAGTGAGGAGCAGAAAGGGGAGAACCCGGCGTCACAGGATGAAAACCACTAGTGGGGACACCCAAGGAAGCATGCAGTGAGGCATACAGCTGCTACAGGAGGCTGGACAGAGGCTACAGCCTCTAGGGTGACATGATGCAGGAGATCAGCAGAATGAGCAAGAGTTGCAGAAGAGATCATCTTTTGCTTCCGGACCCGAGGACTACCAGCCAGGAAAGCTACTTACACATGTAGCAGTGTGGTGAGAGTTCTTCCAGGCAGCTAAAGAAGGCTGCCCCCTCACAGACAGAGATGTTGGCTAGGCCACCTGGAGGGAGGGCCCCAGCTGGAGTGGGTGTCATGCGAACACCCAGGACAACAGATGGTGCCTGAGCGGGACTGCAAGCTAGCTATTGTGCAGGAGTTGCTGCAGGTCGTGATGCTGGACTGCAACCCGGAAATAATAATGGCAGGTCACCGGCCGCATGCAGTGCAGTTCCTACAGCTGTGTCGTTACAGCCGAGTTAAGCACGGCTCTCTGCAGTGGGAGACTGGAATGCCCAGCTAATGCACTACACCCATGCTTATCAACAGCCTGTGAGTGGTGGGAAAGGAGGGCAAGCTGTGCCTCTACATCCATCCGAGGTACTTTAATTGTTTCCTGAAATACCAGCCTGTGCAGCAAGAACGCCTGGCAGATGTCACAAGGGCCAGGGGGAGGAGGGGCTGGTGAGCGAGAGGACCCAGGGTACCACTTGGGAAGTGAGTGGGGAAGGGGAGACCGCTCCGCGGTGTGTTTTGGGGCTGGTCGGAGTTATCTTTGAAGGGTTTGGGTACCGCGGGAGTGTGGTCGCAGATGCAATGGCCTTCCCCACAGAAAGTTAGTAGGGAGTACGGATCACACGCTGATATTTAAGCAATGCATGTTGATTAAGTGCTCGTCCTGTAGTGCGGTACAGCAAGTGTGGCACAGGAATTTGCAGCCCAGAGCTGGGCAGAGGACAGGGACGGATACCCTAGTTCGTTACAAAGATTAGCTGGGAACAAGGCGTTTTCATGCGAAGACTACGTTACAAACAAGTACCTGCATGCAAGGAAAGAACGTCTTCGTGAAAGGGTAGGGCCGGGAGAGGGCACACTACCACGAAGCGGATCACCAAGGCCTACAGACCAACCGCTTCCCGGCAGCACCCAAACGTAGCTACGAACAACCCGAATTAGCCAACACTGTCGCGTGCCGCGACACAAGAGCCACACTGGCTCGTACGCCATACGGCAAAGACACTCCGTATTCGCAGAAAACCTTAGTTTTCAACGCTTCACGTAGAAAACTGTCAGTTTTCATGCGAAGACTACGTTACAAACAAGTACCTGCACGCAAGGAAAGAACGTCTTCGTGAAAGGGTAGGGCCGGGAGAGGGCACACTACCACGAAACTTCAATAATCGCGGAGGGGGCGGCCGTGCCCTTAGCCACCCAACCCCGCACAAGGCTACAGCCACAAGGAACGTCAACAACACGCTTCCACGCTATGGGGCCGCTGCCCCCGGCCTCTCCGGGCCCCGACCCGCGAGTTAACACTCGTGTCGGCTCCCAAACACCACGGGGCTGCTGCCCCCGGCCTCTCCGGGCCCCGACCCGCGAGTTAACACTCGTGTCGGCTCCCAAACACCACGGGGCTGCTGCCCCCGGCCTCTCCGGGCCCTGACCCGCGAGTTAACACTCGTGTCGGCTCCCAAACACCACGGGGCTGCTGCCCCCGGCCTCTCCGGGCCCCGACTCGCGAGTTAACACCTGCGTCGGCTCCAAA